ATTATACCACTCTAGGGAAGGGTTCTGTAAAAAAATAATTTTTAATTTCGTAAGGGCGGCGCCACGGGAGGGTCCGATTTTTCTCTATTTAAGGTATATAAAAATAATAAAAGTGAATTGCAGTGACACCGTTTATCCGATAGGCATGAGACTTTAGGGAGTTCATTATAATACTCTATGGAAGGGTTCTGTAAAAAATCATTTTTTTTTAATTTTGCAAGGGCGGCGCCACGGGAGGGTGCGATTTTTCTCTATATACGGTTTATAAAAATAAGTCGATTTTCGTGTGACACCTTTATCCGATAGCCATGAGACTTTGAAGGAGTTGATTAGAACAATTGAGGGAAGAGTTCTGTAAAAAAAACTTTATTAATTTCGCAAGGGCGGCGCCACGGGGCGCTGCGATTTTTCTCTATATACGGTTTATAAAATTTCGTTTTCACATCGTTCATCCGTGTACCATGAAACTTTGGGGAGACGATTAGATCACTCAATGGTAGGGTTCTGCAAAAAATATTGTTTAATATTGCAAGGGCGGCGCACCACCGGGGGGGGGGGGAAGCGATTTTTTTCTCTATACACGGTATATAAAAAATAAAACTCGGATGCGGTTCATCTGAGTTCCACGAAACTTTAGGGAGTAGATGAGAATACTCCCGAGAATATTTCTGCGAAAAAGAAAACTAAAGTTTCTTACGGGCGGCGCCATATAGGGTACAACTTTCGTCAATACACGGTTTGGCGCCCAGAGTTTTAGAGCGACTAAGTTGGCACTTGGCATCCGTTAATCGAGCGTCCTGCATAGCGAGTAAGGGGTACTACTATATTCAGCGGTAAAACTACAACAGGCTTCTAAAAATAACTTTGTAACGCGAGGAAATCCTTCTGTACAGTTTCGTCCCCTTGCAAAAGATGAAAAAATAACTTGACGTCATTGATACTCCATAATAAAAATGCTGACATTACGGCCTAAATTATGTTTGTAATGTTTTAAGTGTTTTGCGTGAAGAGTTTAATTCTTGTAGGGGCTAAGCCCCCTTAACCCCCCTCCCCATCACCACGGTAGAATATCTATTCCCCCCCCCCTCCGGCGGTAGAACGTCTAATCCCCCCCCCCCCCCCCCCAAAAAAAAAGCGTAATATAATTTATATAGAAAATATATAAAAATATATTCTTTTACCAGTGGCGTCCTCCCCCGACCCGTCAAAATTTATTCCCCCCTGCGAAAATTCAAGTGCCCCACCCCCAGGAAAAAAAAGCCTGAAACGAACACTGTCTGCGTGAGTAAAATTATTTATCGGTCGAAAGTAGTAAACAGGTCTATATTATAGAATTAGGCTCTACCTTTAGTTTGTATGAGCTACAAATGCGACAAGTTTTTCTTTCCGAGTTATTCCTCCCCAGACGGGGTGGGGGGGGGGGGGAGGTGGTCTTGAAATTTTCAAGGGTGAGAGCGGACTAAATTTTTTTTTTGAAGGGGGCGGACACAGGTAAAAATACGTTTTCTATAAAAAGTATATTTCGTTGAATGGGACGGTAGACGTTGTTTAGGGTGGGTGTGGGGGGGGGGGGGTCTGCCTTAGTGGGACCTATTTCGTGATTGAGATTAAATGCAAGGTTTATGGGTATGAATTCGCTTATGTTTAGTATCAATATGCAGCAACTACGCGTAGATCAAGCTTAATTCCGGATATAATGCCGATTCTGGCCAGAAAACCATTTTCAATGACATTTTTCGTTTCCGGTAAAAAATAAAGTTGAGGTGGTGATTTTGTTTTACTTTCATTTTAGAGAAAACGACAACACTATCAATCATAGAAATGTGTAACTGTTAACCCGTTCAATGTTTGTATTGTCTATAGTAATGCGTAACGAGGTGGAAGGAACACGAAGGCGTTTCTGATGAGTAGTAAAATCATTGACTTGGTTTTATCGGGGTGAAGTTTCATTTTGTTTAATGTTTTCCAAGTAGCTAGCTGATTGGCACATGTTTGAAGTTTGTAACTAAGTAAATCAGCGCTGTCTGCAAAGACAGGTAACGAAGTATCGTCAGCGAACATCTTACACTGACCTGCGTCGATTTGCAATGCAAGATCATTAATGAATGTATGTATATATATATATATATATATATATATATATATATATATATATATATATATATATATATATATATATATATATATATATACATTTATATATATCCTATGCGCAGCCCCCCCCCCCCTTCTCGCCTTTTGTTCGTCGCATATTTTTCCGAGGCTACGAGATCAGTTTCTTCAGCAATATGGAGAACTTAAAGATACAGGCATATGTTAAAAATAAAATGTTGGATTCACACAATTTCAAAAAAACTAAATTTTTATTTAAAGACACAAAAAAGCAATAAGGGCATAATTGTATGTAGAAACACACTTTTAATTATACAAACGGTGAAGTTTTTACTTTTTCATTTGTGTTGGTGTTGCTAATTTATGTTTGTGTAATAATAAATCTCTTGAGAAAATATAAATAAGATAACAGTCATCACTGTTAAAGAGAATGACGTCACATAAAAACAAATAGGAAATAATGATAATGAAACAATGTTACTAAAAATATTTAAGAGGATATACTCCGTTGTTTTTTTTTTCTATTTTTAACAATTTAAGCTCTAACACATTTTGAATTATTTTACCATGTTTGGCACATGAAAGTAAGTTTTAAACAGCAATGAAGGGGTTGAAATCAATTTTGGTTGTCATGAAAACCCGAAAAAACTCCGCCAGTTTGAATTTGTTTTTATTTGCATTTTAAAAAACACATTGGTGGGAAAATCTTGGTAACTATGACAACGGCGGCCATATTGAAAAAAAAAAACCTCTTAGTAGGATTTCCCCAATTCATAAAGTATTGTATTTTAAGCTCAGTAAACAATAAATTCATTACGTTCTACCAAATGTTGAGGTAATCAGATAAAAGTTTTAAGTGCATATCTTCAAACTAATTTATAATAAATTTTCGAATTGTGGGTCCGTTTAACACACTAAATTTAATACCCAAACATTCCCCGAAATGTTTTTGTTTTATATACTGCAATACAGATTAAAGCAAAGATTTAAATTTAACGAATCCTATTATTTAAAAATTCAGTCATATGGTCATAGGTGTCGCCGTAATAAGCATTGAACTCTAGCATTGGGAAATTATTCTATTTAGTAGCCTACAATGTACACATTTATAAAATTCGAAAGGTTAAAGAGCAAAATTCGGAAGTAAAATAACATAAATTATGTCTCGTTTAATAAAGATAGTTTCGTAAACCGTGATCATTTTTACTTTCTCGTATATAGAGTATAGAGAAGTATTGTAATCGTGCACAAAAATCACATGAAATTTAACAGTTTTCACAGTTTTACACCTCATTACTTCATCTGTCAGTGTGTGTGTATGTGAATATGTGTTTATGTAAACACGATAACTTGAGTACCGTTACAGCTAGGTAGAAGAAATTACCCATATAAATTATATTTCATTTGTAAATCTGTATCACCTTTTCAGCGATTTCCGGTAACCGGAAGTTGGACTTATTTTACTTTTAGTTTTTTTAAGACCTATAGCTTGACTACTGTTTCAGATAGATAAACGTAAAAATTCAAATAAAAGCAACAGATCTAATTTTCTGCTATCTTTCAAACTTTGAGTAATTTTCGTTGACCGGACGTAGTAATTTACGTTATTTACAATTTCTCCAAAAGCGCATGTAAATTTATAAAGTAGTAATGATATTCCGCACTATGACACACAGATTATTTGGTGCGTAATTCTTTTATCTACGAGATTTTATTCTGTTTTTAAAAGTTTAAGTAAAAAAAATCATGTCTATATCCGAGTTGCCATGCCCCGCATTGTTATATAAGAAAATTCGAGAAAATTGTGTGGAAAATTCTGGAGAATTGCGATTATTAACTCGTCATTTCTGCGAATGGATGTATGGATGGATGGATGTGTGTCCGCGGCTTTAAGTCGTCTTTAAGTCATATCTCCTCCTCAACGAAGCAATATCGAGGACTAGTTCCAAAGCAAATATGTTAAGCAAGTTCCGAGGATGAACATAGGCTAAAAAAATTCCTGGAATTCCTTCCTGGATTTCCCGGGAAAAGCCAAAAGACCTCGAAAAAATGCAGTTTTTGGCCCTTATCTCGGCAACCAGACGACTTAGCGACTTGAAACATTTACCAATCGATTCCTGCCATAATTTAAAACAATATTGCCGAAGAAAGTTTTCAAACATATCCTTTCGTTTGGCCACAAAAAATTAATTAAGAATTTTTAAACTGAGTATCGTGTAGGCCTAGGATGATTTAGTGCAGAGCGCTGAGGTTCGAAAGGATTTTACCATAGCGAATGAGCGGAGGTTCGAAAGGATTTTTTTCGACTGATACGGGAGGCTAGCCTGTCGCGAAGTGGGATCGTTCGCGTCACTGCGCACGGCAAGAGAGAGAGAGAGAGGCGTCGCTCGTTTTTTTTCCACGTGCTAATGTTTACAAACAAGAGGGCGGGTTTTAATCATAGTCAAATACTAATATAAACGTTTTAATATTTGGGCACCGTTGTTGACTATATGATTTATCTCGATTTAAAATTGTTATGGATAACATAAGGAAATTGCGCTTAAATTGTCACTAGACTTTTTATTAACTTGTTTTTTTTTACAAGTGTGGTAATTAGAGTGTCTGGTTTTTTGTGTGTATTTTTACGAATGAGCCTGTATGTGTGTGTTTCGGTGTGCCTTTCTGAGCAATAGTATACCGGCGTGTTATCTCATTAGTGAAATAATTAATTTGTTTTGCGCATCCGCAAAACGTTTGTTCTATACAAGAGACAGAATATGCACTTCTGACAAAGTTAAGTTGGTATAAAGTATATTATCTATATGCTGACATCGATGTGAATTTGGACTCCGCCACTGTAAACTTACTTAGGTAACATCTGCGGATGACATTGCATACGTGGACTGTCCCCCGCCATTACTGTGGTAGTCAGCAACACGTAGAGAGCTGGCAGAAAACATTGAATTTCAAAAAAGAATATTGTTTGAACGCAAAGATGTACCTTACTGGCAGTTAAGTTTTCTATCAGCTTTGTATGGTAATTTAAGTTGTTACATTATTTGATTTTATTATGCTAATCAGGCTATTTTTTAATGCTATCCTCTATTTTTTCAATGGTAATATTTCTTTGTTTATTTAAAAAGTAGGCCTACTAAGCCAATTTAGTTAAACAGTCATTGTAAAATTAAATAACTGAGACAGTACACAACTAGTGAAGCATTAAGTTACGGTTTATCTAAAAAAGTATACAACAGTATGTCAACGGTAAAGATTATATATATATATAGTTAAACAGTCATTGTAAAATTAAATAACTGAGACAGTACACAACTAGTGAAGCATTAAGTTACGGTTTATCTAAAAAAGTATATAACAGTATGTCAACGGTAAAGATTATATATATATAGTTAAACAGTCATTGTAAAATTAAATAACTGAGAGAGTACACAACTAGTGAAGCATTAAGTTACGGTTTATCTAAAAAAGTATATAACAGTATGTCAACGGTAAAGATTATATATATATATATATATATATATATATATATATATATATATATAGTTAAACAGTCATTGTAAAATTAAATAACTGAGACAGTACACAACTAGTGAAGCATTAAGTTACGGTTTATCTAAAAAAGTATATAACAGTATGTCAACGGTAAAGATTATATATATATATATATATATATATATATATATATACATATATATATATATATATATATATATATATATATATATATATATATATATATATATATATATATATATATAGGGGAACAGGACATTACCCCCCGTCAATTACCAAACCCCCCCCGGACATTCCCCCCCCCCCCGTATTTACACCCTATCAATTACCCCCCGCCCAGTTGGACATTACACCCCGGACAGGGTTGGAGTTAGGGTTACGGTTAAGGTTAGGGCTAAGTTTAGGTTTACGGTTAGAATTAGTGTTAGAGCTAGGGTTAGGGCTAGGGTTAGGGTTATGGTTAGGGTTAGGGTTAGGGTTAGGGTTAGGGTTTGGGTTAGGTTTAGGGTTAGGGTTAGGGTTAGGGTTAGGGTTAGGGTTAGGATAAAGGCTAGGGCTAGGGTTAGGGTTAGGGTTAGGGCTACTGTTAGGGCTAGGGTTAGGTTTAGGGTTTGGGTTTGGGCTAGCGCTAGGGTTAGGGTTAGGGTTAGGGTTAGGGTTAGGGCTAGGGCTAGGTTTAGGTTTAGGTTTAGGTTTAGGGTTAGAATTAGGGTTAGAGCTAGGTTTAGGGCTAGGGCTAGGGTTAGGTTTAGGGTTTGGGTTTGGGCTAGGGCTAGGGTTAGGGTTAGGGTTAGGGTTAGGATTAGGGTTAGGGTTAGGGTTAGAGCTAGGTTTAGGTTTAGGTTTAGGGTTAGGGTTAGGGTTAGGGTTAGGGTTAGGGTTAGGGTTAGGGTTAGGGTTAGGGTTAGGGTTAGGGTTAGGGCTAGGGTTAAGGTTAGGGTTAGGGCTAGGGCTATGGCTAGAGTTAGTGTTAGAGCTAGGGTTAGAGTAAGTGTTGTGTCTAGCGTTGGTTTTGGTTTTGTGTGACGTTTTAGGCTAGGGTGGATGCTTAGGTTTTGGTCTTTTTCTTAAAGTTTGGATTACAGTAGTATATATGTATAGAATTCTAGTTAGAGTTAAGATTCTAACTTGAGAGAGGGGGGTGTTTATTGGAGAGGGGGTAATTGACAGGGAGGTAATTGCTCCGGGGGGGCGTAAATGCGGGGAGATAATGTCCGGGGGGGGGTTCATTTCTGGGGGGAGGGGGTAATGTGCTGTAGATATATATATATATATATATATATATATATATATATATATATATATATATATATATATATATATATATATATATATATATATATTAAGTTCTAACTATGTGAATGTATAAACAATACTATAAAACAAAAAAAATGTATATTCGACTGCCACTTGAACTAAGTTACGATTAGTATAAACTTTAGTAATAATAAAGTTAATGTTTTACTAATTTGTTTTTTTCTACTTTCTCGGTAATTAATAATTTGTGAATTCGACACTATGAATGCTGCAACTGAAAATATTTTGCTTTAAAAGGACGATTCTCTTCTTCCCCCTTTGCCCCCCCCCCCCCCCCCCCCCGCCTTTGTGAAAGCAGCCGTCCGCGACGACAAAGAAAAGATTAAGCAGAACATTTTATCTCCCCTTTTTTCAAATCGTCTAAAACTAAATGATCTGCCCCTAATAGTGGTCACCAATAGGGCTCAATAAAACCTGCATGAGCCTTAGAACTGGTTGGTGACCTACTTACCAGCCCTATTTGGATGATCATCGTTCAGTTAGCTGGGGAAAAAAACTAGAAAATCCGAGGCGGCGGGGGGGGGGGGGGGGGGGGGGGGGGGGAGGAGGAGGAGGGGGACAAAATACTGTAACCTAGTATACACAGCGTCTAAAATGTTGAAAAACTCAATTTTACAAGAGAATCGGTGATATCCTATGAAACTGAAGCAGATGACTTAGAGTCACGTAGATCAGTGGAGATTGAACAATGTGCTTTTTTATTCTTTATTATGGACTCAATTTTTTCCGAAAAATCAAAATTTGTAGTTAGAACAAGATAATACTGTCGGGACGATTGGTTAATTTAAATACATGTAAAGGAATTATAAATACGTGTAATTTAAAACTAAAATATTAAAAATTAAAAAATATTTTTAACCATAATAAATTAAAT